AAGCAACTTACCCTCCCTCTTCTCCTGCCTCCTCCTGGCTGAATGAGGGCCGGAAGTGGGGTGGCCAGAAGCAGGGGGCGGGGCTTCGTCATGTGCCCCGCCCCCTCGTACCTCACCCGGGGGAACTGCGATCCCCCGCGATCCCCCCCGAAATGACCTCTGGTTTACAATCTTCTCATCCAGCTGGGAGGAGCACTGTTTCCTTCCAGCGTAACCAGAGCTTCTCTGAGAGGTGTTTGCTTATGCTGTGTTTTCCTGTAGGACTGATCACACACAACATTTTCCGAGCAGTGAGGAATGTGACGGCTCCTCTAGTCTTTGAACAAAGTTGGAACAAATCTTGTCAATTATTTGAGATTTATTTTAGAGAATGCAATCTTTGCAAAATTCTGAGTGCAGAATTTTAGGTTTTCAGTGTGAACTCTTCCCACCCCTTACTTCCAAATTTGAAATTGGAGTCCTTTCACGCTGTTTCTTGAGGGCATTGATTTTGACAGCCATCAGATATAAAGTTTCATGCATTCTCACAGGAAGTATGTGGGTTCCAAGGCCTGTGGCACAGAAAGAGACCAGTGACACCATTATCCCCTTGCCATGATTGAATCCTTTGGTCGCATGAGGGTAGGGTTGCTAACCCCCCCCCCGGTTTGCCAGGGGTCCCCTGTTTTGGGTGGGGGTTCTGCTCGCTGCTGGCCAGATGGCCGGCGGGGGAAGCCATGCCCCCAATACCCACAGCCACCCATCTCTCTCCCTTTAAGTGTGTGGAACCCGTGTTTCCTCCTAAGCCGGATCTCCACAAGCTTGCAGGGAAATGCCAGCTTCATGCTCTTAAAGGGGAAATGCCGGCTCCTGCATTTAAAAGGGAAATGCCGGCTCCTTTAAGTGCTGGGAACTGCCGTTTCTGGAGATCCGGTGCACGGGCGGGGGGGGACGTCCCCAAAATGCCGTCATCACGTCGGGATGCCCCGCCCTCTCCAGGAACGCCCCCAAAGTCCCCCGCTGGGGGTGGAAGATGGACTTGGCAACCCTACATGAGGCAGGTACCTTGAATGACTCTGTGCTAGGCCTCTCTTTGCATGTTGGCAAGCCTTCAGCATGGCAAAGAGATTGTGATACCACTAATCCTTTCATCTACCAGAAACCCTGCCATAGGCAAAAACAAGTCCTATGTCATGCTAGGACCGTCTGTCATGAGATTCCCCAAGTGGGCCAGAAACTTGTTTGAATGTGGTGGGTTCTTTCTGAGTGTACTCCAGCAGTGTTTTCACCCAATCAGAACCCACGTTTCTGTCCTATATTCTAGTTAGGGCACACCACACACCTTACTGCCAGTCATATATTCTCAGCCTCACTTGCCTCACAGGTGGTTGTGAGTAGGGGTATGCGCTCTGTATATACCAGTCCAAATATATACCAAGCCGACAGTCTCCATAGGGTATAATGGAGCTGAATAAAGTCAGGTTTCACAAATGTTTACCCAAATCCCAATGCAATACCCACATTGGATTCGGGAATATTTGGGAATACCAATATTCCCAAATTGGGCGGGGACGTTTTATTTTTTTGGCACACCCCTAGTTGTGAGGCTAAAACGGAGGAGAAGAGAATGATGTAAGCCATTCTGGGACCCCATTCGGTAGAAAGGCATGGATTGTATTAATGAAGTAAATGAATGAAGTTAAAAATGATGTAAGCCATTCTGGGACCCCATTTGGTAGAAAGGCATGGATTGTATTAATTAAGCTAAATGAATGAAGTAAATGAATAAATATAAATACCATTGTATAATTGTACCAAATACTTTTAATATATCCAGCTCTCAGGGTGGT